GATTGGGGGTCGGCAAACCGTTTGCAGGTGTTTCGGTGCCTCCGTTTGCAGGTTCACCCGGCCTTTAGGAGGGCGCTGGTTGCCATGGATGTTTCATTGGGCAGCGGCGCGGCGCACGTGGGCGCCTTGCCGGTGGGGGAGCGCATGAACTACGCTCAGTACCGGCAGGTTGCTGCTTCATTATAACTTAACATCCCGCTCGCGCCCATGATGCCTCCTGAAAAAGGGCGGGTTAATCTTTTAGTTGTCTCCGCTACGAGGTCGGCGATGGCACCTCCGTTCGAATTGCCGGGCGCTTTTTCGTGAAGGGTCTTCTCACTACCGTCGATGGGGGCGTTATCGTGGTGGACTTCGGCGGTGCCTTGGAAACGCCGCAGGATGCGAGCTTCGTGGAAGTCCTGGGAACGAAGGCGCCAGGCGCGGAACTTCACGCGGTGGGGCTGGTGAAGTTCGCGCCCGGCCAGGTCGATGAGGCGCTCTGGAATGAGGCAGTCAAGCTCGCTCAGCTGCCTCAGCTTCGCCACCTCTTCGCTCCCATCGGCGGAGAGGCTCGAGCGGCGGCGTCTGACGACGGAGCTCCGCGCGGCGCGGGTTTGGCTGAGACCCAGCCTCTCACATCAGAGACTCAGCCGCTGACGGAAGACCAGCTCCGCGCCAACGCTGCGCTGCTGTGCCCGCCAACGCAGCTCGAATTCGAATGAAACACTCGTCCGGTGTTGCTTCATGACCTCTGCCTCTCCTGTCATCTTCATTCTTATTGGAATGACTTTGCATACTCCTCCTTCCTCTGTCCTTTACTCTTCTCAAGGGCTTCAACATCTGACAACGATGATAGTGTTCCCCAGGTGTTCAGAAAAGTTTCGATGCAGAAATTGTTCTCGCTTCGCGTGTCCCCGCCAGCCCATCCAACAACAGTCGCCAGGCGAGTCGACCCGACAAAATGAATTTCAAGGATTTTGGCCTCTTGAGGGCTTCATTGGAGGGCTCGAAAGGCACTTGGAGCCGGCCTGGGGCGGTTTCGAGAGCTCTTGGATGTCTGTTGATAGTTATCTTGAACCATCTTGGGAAATCTTGCTTGACCTTGGAGGCTATCTTGAGCTCTTTGAGGCCCTCTGGGAACAATCTTAGGCCATCTTGGGCGCTCATATTCCTCGCGGGAAGGTGCCTCCAGGCCCAGGGGGAGGGGGTAGGGGGAGGGGGAACCCTTTCCCCGAAGGGGAAGAAGGGGGTTTAGCAGAACGAGCTCGCTAGACCACTCACGCCCTGAAGGGCTTATGGGATTATCGGGAACGCACATTCCACATGGCTCGATGGGCTCTTTGTTGCCTTGCGGTCCTGAGAGACGGGGAGGGGGCGAGGGCACATGGCCGGCCGAGTTCGGGCGCGGCCGGGTCCGAGATCAGCCGACGGCTGAACTCGGACCCGGCTGATCTCGGACCCGGAAACTCGGACCCGGCTGAACTCGGACCCAGCTGATCTCGGACCCGCTGAACTCGGACCCGGCTGGTCTCGGACCCGGCTGATCTCGGACCCGGCTGATCTCGGACCCGGCTGATCTCGGACCCGGCTGATCTCGGACCCGGCTGATCTCGGACCCGGCTGATCTCGGACCCGGACGCTCTCGCTGCAGCGCGGGCCTCGGTCCGAAATCAGCTGGGTCCGAGTTCAGCTGGGTCCGAGATCAGCTGGGTCCGAGATCAGCTGGGTCCGAGTTCAGCTGGGTCCGAGTTCAGCTGGGTCCGAGTTTTTGGGTCCGGGATTCCGGGTCCGAGATCAGCTTGGGTCCGAGTTCAGCTGGGTTCGAGTTCAGCTTGGGTCCGAGTTCAGCTGGGTCCGAGTTCAGCTGGGTCCGAGTTCAGCTCGTGTCCTTGAACCCCAATCAGGCAAGATTAGGCCGCGGCGTCCACCACGGCCTCTCCATTCCCAGGAGACAGCCCACACCAATCCCCAGATTCTTCAGCTTGCCCAAGAACTCCCACTCGTTCTGGCCCTTCATCTCGACCGCGCCCCAGAAGGTCCTGCACCCGGCCGAGGCCCCTCAGATCCACCGAGGCCTTGTTCCCAAACGCCCCGAACAAAAGACTGGATGCCCTCGAGGTACCACTTGAGCCCGCGGGGGCTTGATGGTGATCCTGATGATACTTGCACCTGGACTTGCACTCCAGAAGCTCCCCCTCTGCGCCCGGGCGGCTAACTGCCGCGCGGGCCGCCGTGGCGCCCACGCAGAAGCCGGACTTCGTCTTGGCCGCAGCAGCAGCCCCACGCGCATCGGGCGGCTTGACGTACTCCTTGGCCCAGTGGCCGACCTGACCGCATCGCGCGCACTTCGCCCTCAGCTCGATCACGTCAATGTGAACTTGCACCTTCCTGCCCTGGCCGCCCTGGCACTTGCTGCCGTTGCCGAACCTGGCGACTGGCGGAGGCGGCACCGCGTCCTTGCCCTTGCCCTTGGGCTTTCCCTTGCCGGAGCCCCTCTTGTTCTTCCCGATGCGCAGCGACTCTCTCACCGCCTGGTAGGACGCCAGGGCCGCAGTCACATCGGCCTCCTCGTGAACCTCCCACAGGTCGTGTTCGATGACGTGGATATACTCCGGGTCGTCATCGAGCTCATCCGCAGCCTCCATCGGCGGGTAGTGTTCTCCAACCTGGCCGGCCCCCTCGACGTCCACTCCGAAGATCTGCTGGCCCCCCTTGTCGCTCGCGATCTCGTCGAGCCTCCGCAGCGCTTTGATCACCTCTGCCTCTCGGAAGCTTCCCGCGGTCCACGTCTTGATCATATCCTCACCCTTCTCGCCAAGCTTCGCATGCCGCATCATGATGTAGCCACGGGCCTCGGATGGCAGCTCCGCAACTTCGCGTTTGAGCTCGCTGTAGCGTCCCAACGCCGCAAGCGCACACTCCAGCATGCTCTGCCCAGTCTCACGCATCGACGTGTACACCGCCCGTTCGAACGCCCGCGGCATCGTCTGCTTGAGGAATGGAGCGAAGGCCTCGCCCATCAACACCAGCGTCTGCTCCAAGCCGTCATCCGCCACGATCGCCTCTACCTCCATGTCGGCCCCTGCCTCCACGGCGTTGCCCTCGAGCCGGCACAGCAACTTCGCGCCCCATTTGGCCTGCGGGATGTCGGTTGTCGAACACCACAGACCCAGCTCTTTTTTCCACCGCTTGTAGGTCACCTCTGGCTTCTCCGTCATAGCTTGGTGGAGGCTTTCGATCACGTCCACCCCCACGAGACTCTTCATCTTGGGGCTCCTCGTCACCATCCCGACGCGCACGGCTCATGGACCCTCTGGAGCCGGTGGACCGTCACCGGCTCCGCTACCACTGAAAGCCTCCCGATGTCGATCGATGGTTCTTTAAACAGCGAGCACGCCCCGTCCGAGCTCGCCCTTGGTCTCGCCGCGCCAGACTGCACCAACACCGCACAGGCACACGGGAATGGGTATGGGAATCGGAAGGTCTTGGGAGTCTCTTCTGGAGAGAGCGGGAGAAACAGGGATAAGCCCGTCCGAGCAAAAGATTGTTGTGGATGGGAAAAAGCGGGGAACAGGGCAAAGGTAGGCTGAAGAGTAGGGCTGTGGCCACAAGTAACGCTACACGTTCAGATCTTACGAGGATAGTAATAGGAATCAGTGCTTGTGGTTGTATTCGTGATCGTGATCCTGGTTGTAATCGTGATTGTAGTCGTAGTCGTAATCGACGTTGTCGTCGCGGCGATTATTTTCCAGCTCGTCTTCGCCGCGCTGGATAATGTTTGGGGGCTCGCTTTCCTAGCGTATAATGATGTTTGGGCTACCCTGCACGACAAAGGAACATTGAGCATGCTTGAAAAAGGATTGCACAATAGATCGGCACATTCTTCGCCGAAGGCGTTGCTCACAATCTAGTCGTAGTCGTAGTCGTCATCGTAATCGTCGTCGTCGTTGTTGCGCGGCGGGTGCCGCGGAGAAATGCTTGCTTATTTAACACGATTGGTGGGACTTCAGTCCGTCAATGAGGCCGCGAATGCCCACTATTCCTGGGTTTTCTGAAAACCTACACAGGTTATCATTGTGGGAAAGGTGCAAAATGAAGACCGCGGGGAAGGGAAGGGAAGCCTATAACGGAACACAACATCAACACGCATTGAAACATCAGTCTCGAGCAAGAGCACTAAATGGCATCAACGGCGGCTCCTAAAGGGGTGCCCATCGTGAAGAGAAGGGAAAGGAGGGGAGGGGACGGGAAGGAGAGAGGAAGGCGAAGGACCCGGGAGCGGGCGAGCGGAGGGGGGGGGGGAAGGGGGCTCCCCTGCCCCCACCTGCTCGTCCCTTCCCTCCCCTCCCCCCTCTCCCCGTCGGCATCCCTCCCTCTCTCCTCCTCTTCTCTCCCGTCGCTGCCCCTGCCCCCCTCCCGTCCCCCCGCTCGTGGGCGACTACATGAACGCCCTGCCATTGCAAGTCGCCAGGTCATCGTAACCCCCCGCCCCCTCTGGGCCAGCCCCCCCCCTCGTTGCCCCTCATCTGAGGGGCAACTGGAGGGCCAGAGGGGGGGGATGAGGGGGAGGACAAAGTGGACGCGGGAGGAGGGAGGACCCTGACCTCCTGTCCGTTGCTGAGAATCGAAGAAGGAAAAAGCGACATAGACATAAATTGTCAACGGTCTGCGCGGTTTCCCGGGCGGTGGATATGGATGAAAGCCCAGCCCTCTGTTGTTCCCATCGCACTGAAAGACCACATCCCAGAAATGATTTCGAGTACCCCGAGAATAATCGAAACAATGTCTGCCCTACACGCTGGCAAAGCGCCGAACGAGTATCGCCTCCCAGGGCCCGACACGTGAAACCTCCAGTTTCTATACTTTCCTGGTGCTCAAAATTCTTTCTGGTGAGGGTTACAGCAGGTTGGAGCATCATAAACCCAGCCTAGAAATCGTGACGTTCTCCTGGTCTTGGCACGGTTACGCTCGCGGGCCATGCTACTCGGCCGAGGCAGCGTGGGGTCCGTGGCGGCGCGCGCCTTCGTGTCCTCCCCGGCCCTGCCCCGGCCAAGGGTGAGACGCGCTCCTCGCGGCGGGGGAAGGTGGGCGGGAGGAGGAGGAGGAAAATGATGATGATGATGATGATGATGAGGAGGAGGAGGAGGAGGAGGAGGAGGAGGATGAGGAGGAGGAGGAGGAGAAGGGAGACGAGGGAGAGGAGGGCAAGGAGGAGGAGGCGGAGGACGACGAGGAGGAGGAGGAGGAGGACCGCTTTGAACGCTTTGGGCGGCCACAGTCGCAGTGGCAAAGGGGATAAGGAGGAGGAGGAGGAGAAGGAGGAGACGGCGGAGGAAACGGAGGTGGAGGAGAAGGATCTGGAGGAGGAGCACGGGATGGTAGGCCCCACCCGCCGCAGAGGGCGGGTCTACACCGCGCTCCATGGGGGCGGGGGGGGAGAGGCAGCCCTGGAGCGCGGGATCCCAGCATCGGGGGCCGATCGATGCTTCGGCTAAGCGCAGGAGTGACCCCTGGGTGAGAGCGACCTTTGGTGCGCGGCTGTCGGGGGGCCGCGGGGGGCCCAACACACGAGCGCGCAAGACGCTGCTGTCGCGCCCCGCTCGGCGACCGGGGGACCCCCGGTGGGCCCGCACCAACCTGCCGTCGCTCGGACGTCCATTTCCTGTGCGTCTTTCGGTTTCGTGCGTGGCTTTTTCCCTCGATGGTCCAGGATGGTCCTCGATGGTCCTCGCCGAGAAAAAATGCACACGTCCGGGCGATGCCAAGCCAGAGGTCACGCCGGCGAAGGGTCGCTCCTCGCGTGCCCTGGGAACGCCGTGCAGCGAGCGCCCGGCGCGCGCCTGCCCCGCGAGGCCCCTGCCGGACGGCGCGGGCGGTGCAGCGAGGGCCGGCACGGGCTGCGTGCCGTCGGCAGCGGAGATCAAGGCGGAGACACGTCGGGTTCGCGGTCACGAGAAGAGGATCCCAGCCCGAGGATCGGCGTGCCAGGTGCAAGTGGGAAAGCCCACTGCACCCTCGATGCAGCAGTGTCGAAGCGCCCCCCGGGAAGCCACTGCGCAGCGCGCGAAGCGAAGAGACGCGAGGCAACCTGGCGCAAAGCCTCCAAGTTTGTTATGCGCGTCCCCACCGTAACACACGTCCTGGGAATCATCGAACTGAATGCTCTGTACAAACTTGGCCAATTGCTGGTCTTCGAGACTTCCAGGGGCGCCCAGGGAGAGGCGAAAGCGGAAGGGGCGGGGTGGAACTCGCTGGAATTCGCAGATATCCGGTTTGCGGCAGCGAACTCAAGCGCTAACAATCCCAAGCGGCAGCCCACAGGGGACGGCCTCCCGCCTGACGTTGCCCTCGCCCCGAGCGCTGACCACTCGAGAAGGACCTTTGCGGCCTAGGAAAGACTCTGCTGGATCCGCTTAAGGTTCTCGTGACCTTTCCTGGGAGACCCCTCCTCAATTAGATGGCGTGGGCCCTCCGTGGCAGTCTTACCACGCGTCATACAAAAGTGCTGCCAAAATTTGGGCCAGAACTGCGAAACGCGAAGGACGACGAACTCCCCCCACCATCGCAACCGCCCCATCAGCCCGCACCGCCCCATTACCCATCAAAGGCGCAAGGTCCTGGGGAGCGGTTCCACACTCCGTTAGGGAGCCCACAAAGGACGTACGCGCCCAGCTATGTACATGAACACGGCCCCTCGATTCGCGAGACCGGCCGCGTTATACGAACATTTGGGCAATGCGTGCTCTCGAAACCAGCGTGGATTCATGTACATGTACGTCCTTCTTTCGCTCCTGATCCGTAGCCGACAAATCCGCCACGTGCCCCGCGGGGGCGACCGTGCGGCACGGAGGGCGCAGCCACCTGCGCTCCGCACGGGCCAAGGCAGCGCCTGCTGCCTCGAGACGCCTTGTGGAGGCCCTCGGCGGGCCACGGCGGGTCGCGCACCGACCCACGGGGCAACACTGATGGAGTCCGGGATGGCCCCGGCGGCACGGCGCCCAATGAGCGCCCAGAGGTCAGCGTCGGCTTCTCCGGCAAGGGTGCCAGCAAAGCCGTGGCCGGTGGCGAAAGGCCGCTCCTGTGGGGAGGGGTCGAGATCCTCGGGGTCCCCATGGGACGGGAACCGCAGCACTCGGACCGCCCCATCCAACCCCAACCTGGAGGGCCGCGCGCGTGCGAAATCACGGATCGGAACTAGCGCCTCGAAAGCGCTGGAACGCACAGAGACCCCCAAGACGCCAAAGGAGGACTGCAAGAAACTCTCGAAAGAAACCAGAAGAGACTCCAAGAGGCATCCAAGAGGCCTCTGGCCTGTCTGCTCGCCCTCATCCTCCTCCACTTGCTCCTCCTCCTCCTCCTCCTCCTCCACATCCTCCTCCTCCTCCTCCTCCTCCCCCTCCTCCTCCTCCTCCTCCTCCTCCTCCTCCTCCTCCTCCTCCTCCTCCTATTACACTTCCTCATCCACCTAGTCCTCGTCCATCCTCCCCCTTGCCCCTCTCCCTACTCCTACTCCTCCTCTTGCTCCTCCACCGATTCCTCCTCCATCCTCCCCCTCTTGGGGTACGACGTCTTACCCAACCCTGTATTCCACTGCAGTCTCCTCCACATCTCTGATCAGGGTAACTCGTCTGGGCATTGTTTCTTGATGGGCTGGTGGGATTACGCGGAGCGTCTAGAAAAGCATGCTCTGGAACGCATTGTAGCAGCCAGAACGGCACCGATCACGCCCGAAGCCAGCCCCAGGCGCACACTGTGGGGTTCCCAAAAGGCTCCAAGGCAAATGCAGTAGGGGCCTGACCATAAAACCTTCCACAAGATACCCAACCCTGAGACCACATGACGTCATCGATTTGTTGTGGGAACGTCACGCTTTCCATTGCAAAACCATCGGGCACCCTGGAGGCAAGCAGGGTGTTTCTTGGCATGGGCCCCCACTGTAAGACCGTCCAAAACGGCTGCCAGATGCCGAGGGACGATCGAAAGACGACCCAAAGAACTCAACGAGCACCATCTTAAAACGGACCCGAAGAGGAAAGCATAGAACAACAGACAATAAACGCTTTTGCTGATGATTCTTCAGCTTTAGAAAGCCCCACGACGCTGTCAAGACGGCCTCAAGAGCGCATCAGGGTCTCCGCAAGGCTGCACGCGAACCCCATCAAAAGGAGCCCACGAGGACAACAAGACGGTCCCAGCACTTGCCCAGGTAATCGCAAGATGATTCAATCTCGAGCCTCTTCGGGGATGCCCTGTGAAGTCATCACGCCCAAGATGGCCCCGAGACCTCCGACGGGTGCTCAAGAGGCCCCGAGAGGGTACAAGAGGCCCTCAAGAGGCCAAAGGGAGCCCCCTAGATGCTTCGAAGACTCACGGGGAACGGTAGGACGAGCCAGGAATAAATACATCAAGAAGGGGCATCGGACAAGGAGGGGGTGGTCAAGACCAACGCCAGTTCAAAATAAGGCTACGAGCGTGACTCAAACTCGGCCTCCCTTCTGCTGCGATGCCGCGCTGCCGCGGTGGCGAGAATATCCGCATGCAGCTGGACACGTCCCACCCTGCTCCTTGCAGGGAGAGTGGTGTGATATATATATATATATATATAGAGAGAGAGAGAGAGAGAGAAACAAACAAAAAAAAAAAAAAAAAACAGAAAGAGAGAGAGAGAGAGAGAGGAACAAAAAAATAAAGCGCCAACTATACCCCTACACCGATCCTGGCCAGGCCCATCCTGGGCCCAGGATCGATGCATCCCTGCGGCTTGGGCACGAACACGTATAGTCACCGATCCTGGGCCCAAGATCGACCTGGCCAGGATCGGTGTGGGTGCACAGTGGGGACCCTCCGGAGAGAGAGAGAGAGAGGCAGAGAGAGCGAGAGAAGCAAAACCAGCACGGGCAGACTCGACGACCAGAGGCAGAGGAGGGGCCCTCCAGACTCGGACGAGAGCCGCTGGATGTTCTCCCCCCCGCGGCCGATCACGAAGCCCACGGCCTCGTCCGGCACCTCCACCACCTCCTCGGGAGCCAAGAGGCTGTCGGCACCGTCGGCACCATCGCGGCGGCGCGGCGAGGAGGAAGGAGGGAGCGAGGGAGGCAGGGGGGGAGGGAAGGAGGGGGGAAGGAAGGGGGCACGGAGGGAGGGAGGGGAGTGGAGGGGAAGAGGATGCAGAGAGGGACGGAGGGGGAGATGGAAGGTAGAGGAGGAGAGCGAGGGGGCAGGGGAGAGGAGGAGGAGAGGAGGAAGGAGGAGGAGAGGCAGGAGGAGGGAGGAGGAGGGGGGGGTCCTCCTGGTGGTGCGGCCCACCCCCGTGCCTTGGGGGCGCCCACCCGAGGAGGCCTCCCGACCCTCAGCTCGAGGAGGCAGCTCGGCTGTGAGGGGGAACGAAAGATTTGAGTCTCCCTCCTCCTCCTCCTCCTCCTCCTCCTCCTCCTCCTCCTCCTCCTCCTCCTCCTCCTCTCCTAGATCCGAAAGATGGGGTACAAGATCAGGGGGAGTGTCACACAACTTGAATCGGCGATACATCGCCGATAGATCGGCGATGGGCCTCCGAGAGCGAAGCCGCACGTTTCTGGGCGGGGTGGGCTACGAGGCCCCTATTGGCAAGACATTGTCGATTGGGGGTCGATGCTCCTCCCACCGAGCCAGTCCCCCCGTCATTGCCTCTGACCATGTGGGGAACAGAGGAGACGCCGACCCCGCCTGTCCCCTGGGCCTCCACTAGACGAAGAAAAAACGGCATAAACATAAACTTTCGACGGTCCGCACGGATTTCTTGGACCTGCGCTCGCTGGACCCCACCCCCCCCTGGCGCGCGGAGCGCGCCAGGGGCGGCGCCGGAAGCGCCGCCGAGGGGGGCCCAGCGCGGATCCAAGAAATCCGCGCGAATTTCCAAAAGTTTACCTTCATGGCGTCTTTCGTTCTTCTTCGAGTGCGCCGAGCCTTCCCTGGAGGCGCAAAGAGAACCTCTGGGAGGGCGCGAGGGCTTCTGGGAAGTCCCCCCGCCTGCTGAGGGGCGACGCCTTCTCCCTCTCACTGCCGCGCCTCGCTCGCCGCCGCGAAGAGTGTCCGCCTCGGGCTGCGAGCACACGCCTCCGGCGGTCGCTGACTACCTACCATCGGCGGTGGACAAACCTCCCTTTAGTAGACCTCCCCTTAGTGAAAACGGCCTGGGACCGGCCGCGACGCCCTCTCGCGAACCGAAAACGGCCAATTCCTTAATCGACGTGTCAGGGTAGGAGGTCTGTCCACCGCCGATACCAGACCACCCCCAACCCACCCCGGAGGCCCGAATTTGACCCGAAAGTCGGGTTTGGGGGGGGTACGGGTTCCACGTGCTTTTACCATGCTCCTCGACACCCCCCCCCACTGGAAAGGGAGGGCGGATTGAAGCCTTCCGGTTGGGTTGGGCTGGTTTGGTGGGTGGTGAATCACACTGCTGGACCCGAGCAGCTGCCGCCGTGGCCCGCCACCCACCGCCGTCTCGCCGCGACGCCCACCCTCCGTGCCAGCGCGAGTCGGCGCACGGGCCCCCTCTGCGACGGCGCGCAGAGCGCTGATTCTGCTGCTGCTGCTGCTGCTGCTGCTGCTGCTGCTGCTGCTGCTCATCATCATCATCATCATCATCATCATCATCATCATCATCATCATCATCATCATCATCATCATCATCATCATCATCATCATCATCATCATCATCATCATCATCATCATCATCATCATCATCATCATCATCATCATCATCATCATCATCATCATCATCATCATCATCATCATCATCATCATCATCATCATCATCATCATCATCATCATCATCATCATCATCATCATCATCATCATCATCATCATCATCATCATCATCATCATCATCATCATCATCATCATCATCATCATCATCATCATCATCATCATCATCATCATCATCATCATCATCATCATCATCATCATCATCATCATCATCATCATCATGAGGAGGGCGCATTGAGCAGGGACCGACCGTCCCCGCGTTCCTATAGGCCTACCACGACATGTTCCTCAGAGAGCCCAAGAGTGTTCTGAGAACAGAAGCAATGCTCTGAGAACATGAGCCCGATGTGTTAGACCAAGACAGCCTCGGCCAGAAATGTCCTAAGAACAGTTCGTGCAGCGCACTGCGCTGGCTGCGAGTTCAGATCGCTCCCGTCGAGACCGATGCACCCCGCCGATGGCCATCTGTCAGGCTGCCCTGCCTGGCCCCGAGCGTGCCTGCGCGCGCGAGGAAAGACCGGGCGCACGGCCACGGAATGGCCCCCCGAGGAGCAGCGGGCCCCTCCCGAGCCCGACCTGCGCCTTCTTCCCGCGGATTGACCGCACGTATGTCTAGAGGCCTCCTGGATGGAGTCCGAGTAGGTGGGGTCGAAGGATCATCGCCGATGCATCGGTGATGCATCGGCGATGCACTGGCGATGCACCGGCGATGCACCGGCGACGTGGGTGATACATCGGCGACGTCGGCGTGAAGCAGATCGGGCTCCGCATGGAGCCGCATCGGCGATGCATCGGCGATGCGGCGCGATCCTCCGACCCCGTCTACTCGGACCTCATCTGGGAGGCCTGGAATGTCGGTTCCCCCCGATCCTCCACGATGTCACCCTCGTCGACCGCGTCGCCGCACTTCTCTTTCCGCCTCGCGCGCTGGCCTCCTCCACTCCTGCCCGCCGCCGGGGCGGCACGACGGTGAGCCTGAAGGCCCAGGGTGAGAGAAGAGGGCGAGGCCTCCGAGAAGCAGCCAAGACGGTGAGCCCTGCAGCGTAAAGTGGCGACCAAGAAAAACAAGGGTGTAAATTTGTAATATCAACACTATTCGCACCGCTTTTTAGACCCACAAGGCCCAAATGTGAACGAGAACAATAAAAACACACGAGTCAAAGTCTCAACGATTAAACGTACCTTCAAAATGCTAGGGAAGGGGGGGGCGATTGAGGACATACATGTTCTGGAGCTGGGAATGGTCTGGGAAAGGTCGACAAGAGAATCTCAATGACGATAACGACGACGCCCACGAGCAGGCTTTGAACCCAACTTGCGAATCATCGCCCAGCACGATACTGCGTGACGCGCTCCCCCCAAGCGTGGCCTGTGGTCGACCGGCCTCTCCGAGGGCCAAGTCCAAGGGGCTCAGGAGCAGCCTCAGAGAGCCTCCTGTCGGGGGCGGCCAAGAGGGGGGCGTCCAAGACGGGGGGGCGCAAATCATGACCGGCGGCACGTGCGCGGCCCAGGGGGGGGGCCAGGGACGTGTGAAAATAAGAAGAGGCGCCATGAGATCTGGGGAGATATCATGGCCCTCGCCATAATATCCACCCCACCCTAGTCATTCCCCCCCCTCTTGGCCGCCCCCGATCCTGAGGGCGAACCAAACTAACAGAATCGCTAACTAAAGGGTCCGGGCGCTCCGAGATCCATAATAAGCGACAAGGGGCGGCAACCCTTACGGACTTCAACCAGTGTCTCGGGCGGGAAAAACCGTGACGCTTGCCCGAGTCCTACTCAACACCTGCCCTGGAATACGTTCTGGCTAGGTTTTCGGTGCGGGCCCCGCTGGGGCCGCAGTGGCGCCCAAGAAGGCCACCAGAAGAGCCAGAAAAATCAAAATCCTCACTTCAAGGCCCAGACCCAGAGGTTGTCTTGAGAGTCCATGGGCCCAGAGCGGTCCCCTGGAGGGCAAAAGCGCCGGGAAAAAACTCTGTTTCGATCTTCCTCAACACGCTGGACATTTGGCACTGGGGGCCACGACTTGACTTAGGTCGGGCATGTCCGCTTGCAGGTAGATTTTGGGAGAACCATTAAAATAGGCAAAAAAAAAACACTGTCCGAAAATAATCGAAAAACCGTCCCCTGATTATTGTTCTGACTATTCTGGAGTAGTCCTCCTGTAGAGGGACATGCCTGACCTAAGCCCTGACCGCCGGCTCTCTCCCCGGGAACGCTCCGGCCCAGAGCTTCAACGAGGCGAATGCGGCAGTGGCGACGAGACGCTTCCCAGAGGCCAGAGACCGCTCCAGAATGCCCAAAAATCAGAATTCGATCCTCGCCCCTGTGCCAGCTATGTACGCCCTCGTGACCGAGGCCGACAGGGTCTACAGTCGGGCCCATAAAAATAAGGAGCGCGAAAGAAGGAACGAAGCCTGTTTTTGGTACCAGAAGCGCCTGCGTGCACGAGGAGGGCTAGAGGAACAGCCACGGAAAGTCATCAGGAACCTCGAGCCTCTTCCGAACCCGAACTGCTCCTTACTTTAACGACTTGCCTGTACGCAGCCATCCTCGCCCCAGAGCTACTTGCAAGTACTGGCCTCCAGGCATAAACGCTCTGGGCACCCCTTCGTGATTAGATGCTCTCACTTCGGCGGCCCCAGGGACCTCGAGACGAGCCTGGGAGAACACCCGCGTGGCCAGAGCAAGGGACCAGCGCCGCGGGAGGGCAAATGACAAGCTATCAGGTGCGCTCGCGCCACACCTGACATCCTGTCCACTCCCTCCGATTAAAACGAAGCCAAGACGAAGATTACATCGGATGGTGATAATCGAGAATATCTAAGAGCCGGCGGCGCTGGACCACGTCGCGGGCGCCGCGGCCTTCTCAAAGAATTCCGGAACGCTCTGAGAACGCTCAGGAACGCTCTGGACCAAATCCTTCCAGCCCTCCGGGCGCAGGTGGTCTAGGGCGCTTCCTTTTCCAACCTCCTTCCTTTCCCTGCTCGGGAGGTTTACCTCCCCCCACCCTCCCTGGGTCTGGACGGGCTCCCCCGCGATGTGTCAGAGCGTCCTTGCTGGCCCAAGAAAAGGGCTTTAGATGGCCCAGTATTGCCCCAAAGATCGCCCAAGATACCTCAAGATGGCTCAAGATAGCCTCCGACACGCATCCAAGAGGTCTCAAGACGGCCCCAAGAGGCTCCGGGACCTCAAGATGGCCCTCCGATGGGCTCTCGGGACCTCAAGATGGCCCCAAGACGGCCTAAGATAGCCCCAAGAGGGGCCCAGGAGGCCCCCAACACGGTCCCAAGAACGCCCAAGAGCGCTGCAAGAGCGGGCCAAGAAAGCCCCAAGACAGAACTTGTGACCCTCCGATGGGGGCAGCGGGAATTAAGATCACTCCTCTGTTTGAAAAGCGGGGCCCAAGACGGCCCCAAGAGGCCCCCCAGACCCCCCAATGAGCTCCAAGAGGGCTCCAAGAGGGCTCCAAGACCCCCCAAGAGCCCCAAGAGGGCCCCGAAAAGGCCCGAAGAGGACCCCAAGAGGGCCCCAAGATGGCGCCCAAATGGCATTACGAGTCTTCGAAAACCCCACACCACGACACATCCGCAAAGCCCGACTTCTCGTCCTCCTTGTCATCGTCCGCCCCATCCTCGCTTCTTTCCTGCCGCCTCCCTGCTCCTCTCCATCCTCCTCGCGCCGCGTTCCTCCTGCTCCTCCTCCTCCTCCTCATTCCCGTCCTCCTTACGTGTTTTTCCTCCTCCTCCTCCTCGTCCTGTCCTCCTCCTCCTCCTCGTCCTCGTCCTCCTCCTCCTCCTCCTCCTCCTCCTCCTCCTCCTCCGCCTCCTACTCCTACTCCTACTCCTACTCTTACTCCTACTCCTACTCCTACTCCTCCGCCGAGCGCGGCGCCAGTTCGTTCCCCGCGGGTCCCCCCGACGAAGGCGCCACCCACCGCTCAGCGGCGGGCCATCCCTGGGGAGGAAGGGGTGAACCAGCCAGGTCCTATAAATTACCATACCTGGGAGGTCGAACGAGTCCCAAAGGACAAGGTAGTAGACCAGCAGGACCCCGTAGCGGCCCGCGAGAAAAAGCCCCGCGCTCGAGGAAGCTCGGCCAACTCGCCGCCAACTGTGCGTGCTCGCCGTCGCCGCGTCCCCCTCCTCCTCCTCCTCTTCTCTTCTCCTCCTCCTCCTCCTCCTCCTCCTCCTCCTCCTCCTTTTCCACTTCCTCCTCCCCTCCTTCCTCCTCCTCCTCCTCCTCCCCGCCTCCTAATCCTCCCCCTGCCTCCGC